AGTGGTAAAGGTAATCACATGTCCAGAAATTCTCAGAGCCGAGCCATACAATAATCACTGACACTGCTGGCAGTATTCCAACCTAGCAGCAGAACCCTTGGATATGGACAGAATGTACCGAGGGGCTGATGTCAGTGGCCAGGACTCTCCAATAGGGGTGGAACTATGATCCTTGTAGAAGCTGATGAAAGTTGAGACACCAACGACAACAGGGATGAATGTAGAAGCCAAAAATTGTACCAATGGGCATGCTAACAATGGTTCCAGCTCATCATTAATGAAGTTGGTAATTCTGAGTCTTCCAACAAAGTTTAGTGTTTGGAAGAAAGGAGCAGTTATGGAACAACATCAATTGGTCCCTATGATATAGATTATGGGAGGTGTCTTAAGTGCAAATGTCAGAATGATAAAGACCTTGAACAAGTAGAAGAAAAAATGTCTTCAGTGACAAATGATATAAGGCAAAGAAAGTTGATAGCTCAAAAAAGGGCATATAAGAATCTGATGAACCACAGATAGGTCCCAGTCAGGAAGAGGGACCAGGTGAGACAGATGATGGATGAAAAAGGCCTTGAAGATGTCCATGAGAACAGGCAAAAGGAAGAGATTAGTGCCTGGTAAGAAGTAGAAAATTGTGGAAAACACTACTTGGTAACCTGCAATAGTAAAAATAGACAGGTCTTCAACAAGAAGCCAGGTAAAGAAGAAAGTAAATAGCCCATTAACACTAATAGAGGGCAAGAATAGAAGGCAGATGAGAATGAGAAAGAAAATGGGCGACTTAGCAGAAAAATTTCATTTGTCTTGCAAGATACTAGGCATATCCCATGTGTGAAGATGATGGCACAAGACCCTTCATGAAAAATGGATGTCCAAGGTTGGTGGAGGAGAAGCCTCCAAAAAGGGAGGGAAGAAGGTTCCCCAGACAACATGCGATGCAGAAATGGAAACAATACAGAGCTGGCCAAAGAGCAGTAATCAGAAAAAGGAAGAAGGCAAAGAAGAGTATAGTCACACAAAAAAAGAGATTGGATCAATCCCGACTTAAAGCACTGACAGCCAAAAAGAGGGACATGGTGCTAGGTGAATGTGACAAGTGCTGGACCAATAAAGGAATTCCAGGGTGAGAAAGCATATGTCCCAAGAGCAGGTGCCTCCCTGAAAGTTGATGTAAGAAAGAACTATAGTGCTTTCTGAGTGGATTATGACAAAAAGACAACAACAGAAAAAGATGGCAAGCCCAATAAGCCGTAGTCATCTCCAGGATGTTGATATGCAAATATCACTACCCTGGAAACCAGACACTGGAGAGAGTGGTGGTGTTGGAAACTCATCCCCAACCAAAAATAGGGGCATTGGTGTAGATACACAAGTTTGGTTGAAGGGGAAATGGGATACCCCAGATTATGATAGTGCAACCAAGGCACCATGACAAAGAGGGATGCTGAATGGAAAGGAGAGACACAAGGGCAAATAAAGGATCGACTCTCCAGAGCCCACTAAAGGAGACACATGCACGTGACTGAGAGGGTCTGGGGTTTCTAAAGAAGTAAGTTCTCAAAAGTAAGAGAACATCTCATGCAGGAAGACTTGGAGAGTGAAGAGCTTTTGACACCAAGATCTCTATGGCATGAATGCACAAGGGAGAGGGATAAACCCACCCTGCATGAGAACTGAATAAAACTTCCAGGTGAACAAGATCAAAACTAAAAACAGAGTTAGAAAGTCTGATCAGCCGGCCCAGACAAGATGATTTCTGAACAGTATTGGAGGTAGCAATTCCCAAATTCATGTAATAATAGATATGAAGGCCCAGAAAATGTATGCACTGAGCAAATGGCAGCACAATTCTGTCGAAAACAAAAGGGGCCATAGCTAGGTCAAAGGGAAGAGCATGGAACTAAAATACTCATCAATTATGGTCAAATGGGAGGAAATGACAGGGCATGGGAAAGGTGGGAATGAGAAGAAAGGCATCAGAAATGTCAACCTTGGTCATCCATAGCCCAGGAAAGATAGAACAATGCAGACTGAAAAAGCTATCAATCCAGAATCAGGAAAGAATGAGAAAGAGATTCAGGGAAAACAAAAGTCAAGTGAGACGGGAGTAAGGTACTATAGCTCCCACTGCCAACAAAAATACTCCATCCTGAAGACATTGAAGAGACAAAGGATTGCAAGGAGGAGGATAAGATAGATTATGAAGAGAAAGAAGAGGAAGAGTATAAAAATGCAGGGACAGACCATGAGAAAGAACTTGCATAATCCAAGGGTCACTGAAGGGATACCACAGGTGGGCAAAATGGAAAAGGTGGGTGCTGACAAGGCCAGAATTAGCTCTAAACAGGAGTCATAGCCAAGCACTATAACAACCTGCCCTGCAGAAGGGGGAACATTGAGTAAAAGTGACTGGACAAAGAACAAGAAATGGATTAGTCCAGCATGATTCCTGAGGATGGGTAGCAGACTGAAGTAGCCATGGCTTAGTGAATCAGGAAACCAGAGAAACAATGGAAGAATACTGGTAAACATCCTCACCCAGGGTTCCCAACAGTTGGGAACACCCCCAAAAACTTGGTCTGTAAGAAAGAGAGTAAGACAAAGGTCACGGATTACGGAGGAAGGGAGGTGGACACCTGAAAGGTAAGCATCCTGACTGAGAAGATCCCAAAAAACAAAGAAACCAAATCAAAATAGAAACTAAGGTGGCAAACAAATAAGAATGGGAGTCTGCTACAAATCTATTGGGGTCACAATGGAGGTGAGGAGGTGAAGGAAAGAGATATAGAGGAGTGTGAGTTGGGTGAAGGTAAAACAAACAAGAGTAGATCACTGGAAAGAAAGAGAAAGACTGGGGTTCAAGATATACAGGTCACAACTAGAGGTTATAGAAAAGGTGCATGAGGATGAGGAAAACTTCTGACCAAGAGAAGGGGGGGGGGGAGAAAGTCAACAGATGGAGGATCATGAAGTAAATAAAAAACAAGAGACAAGAGAATTTACTGGTGAAAGAAATAGAATATAACACACCTGATTAAAGAGTGTAGCAAACAAAAGAGGAGGTATCCATTTCTCATTAGGAAAAGAAAAACCAGAGGCAAAGGCTGGAAGTAGAAAAAAAAACAGTCAAAATCTTCCACAAGTGAGGAAAGCTCCACAGAAGGCAATGAAAAAGAACAAAATGGGACTTGAACTAGAGAAGAAGTAGGCAGAATGGAATGAACCACTTGATGCATAATAGCAGCAACATCATGAGCAGATAATGTTGATACAGGTATAGGAGATTTCTGATTAGGATCATCTGGGTCTCAGGACATAGAAATAATGTGGGTTTGAGAATTCATAATAAATCAACAATTCAAGAGTGAATTTGTTCATTTTCCAATTTTATATATACACACACACATTATATATATAAGAAGCAAGAAACAAGATAGATATAAAAAAATTATATTGCAATCAGGTGGATGTAATGAAAATGTACCAAGGACAAAGATAACGAAACACTAAATAACGAAAAGCAGTCTATTAAAGTGACAGGAATCTCTAACATGAGCAGAATTGAGAAAAGAATGAGCCTATAATTATGTGCTAGTGTTCACAGGGATTAATGTGAATTGACTTTGTGTTGCATTCCTGTTGGTGGAGGGCTACAGCACAATGTGCATCAGTCAATCCATGCTTGTATGCATGCTAGCTCACAAGGAAACCCAATATTCCTATTGACTAATTGTAAAGTTGTACTTTTATGTTTATACGAGTGCAAAAGTGAATGACATTTAACATGCATTGTTCTATGTGAGTGCAAAACTACAACAATTATAACACTAACTGTAGAGACAATTACTTCAATCACATAAACAAACATGTAAAGAAACACATTAATTCTTTACCTTTCCATGGCTTATACACAACATAATACCATTACATCTCAATACAAATTCCAACAGAAGCCTAAAAATTGATAATTACGCCTAAAGTTTAAAATATGCTTTGTATCTGAAGCATGAGCTTACCTACTATATAATCTATGGCAATTACCCTTAATAGTCATTGCCAAACAACTATATTCATTTTTGATGCTCTATAGCTAAAACAATGCACAAAAGAAAATAATTAAATGTTTCATATGATATACAAATGCAATTTAAACACATATGCACACACAAAATTTACAAAAAACTTCTGACAACAGTTGATTTTTACACTTCTTGATACCATAATTTTAAAAATTCAATGTTTTATAAATATTTGATAATGTTGATTTATCAAGAGCTTTATCAAAAAAAATCTCAAGATCTTAGCCAAAGATGGCAATTATCCACAAAGACAAGGTGTTTATACAAAAATGTTGTGTACAGAGACATATTTCATTTATAGTCATTCCACGTTTCTACACTTCTTTACTTTAAATCTAAATAAAACAACTCCATATTCTGCTTAGTAAGTTTTTGTTTCAATGTCCAACTACATAATACAAGAACAGCATTATTTAAAGTATTTATCTATTTAAAACATATACATATATTTAGTAATACACTTAATAATGCTGCATACAAAAAAGAATCTTTGGGATTTGGCTCATATGTCACAGTACACACTTTGAAGTGGGAGGCTGAGTATTTAATCCCTTTTTTTGCTAAACAATGTTTCAGTAATCCAATAATTTCAATAAACACATCATACGTGAGGTACAAATTTCTTTATTTCCAAAACTTCCACTTTTGAAAATCCCACTTCACTTTGGCAAAGTAATTTTATGTTTTAATTTTCACTTTTTGAACTGCTAAAACAAGCAGCAAAAAATTATTTTCCTTCAGAATATACACAATAAATATTATCTCTGCTGTCTTTTGAAGAAAAAAATATTCCACAATAAGACAATCAATAAACTTGCAACAATATAAATGTCAGATATATTTTTGACAATCACTGAAATTATTGTAATAATATCCAAGTTTTACTTCTACCAAAATTAAAAGAAAAAATTCATAACTTACCCAAAAATGGAGTTACAATATTCCTCCACTTATCATGTCCAACAAACTCTTCAGCAATCCTTTCCAATCCTGTGAAACATACAAATATATATATTTCTATTCACAGTTTCCTAGTTCTATGAAATCCTTCTATTTTTGTCTTCAGTGTCTGAACTCTTTGTATTTGTAAGTCAAAAAAAAACATTTTATTTCAATTTCAGAATACTAGTACAACAATGTGACTACCTATGAGAAATCTCACACAATAAATTTGTTTTGGTAGCCTAATACACAACATTTTGGTACTAAATTAGTGCATTAAGTGTAGTTTTTACTGTAATACTTATGCAGTATCAACTCCAAATATCCATTATGAAACTCTCCCACCTCTGTGTGTATTACATACAAATGAAAACAGAATACAGTCAGAAACTGTTGTTGTCTGTTTTTTCTTATCCTATATCAGTTTGATGTATTTATAGTTATGAGTCAGTATGGCTAACTCACAGACTGGATGCTTGAAGTTGACTATGAGAAATGACCAAACTGAAGGGGTGTAAATTAGAATATACACGATGTTTTTAATTTAGACAAATCATGAATAATATGGCCATAGCTCATATGCTCTGAAGTCAAACATTGTCAATAATAATTGTTTTTCAAAAGAAAGAAGGATTCTAAACATTAACTCTGCTAATGGGTGCCACACTCTCACTGCAATATAAGGAATATTATATCCATGAAACATTATTCAACTTGTCCGAGAAAAATATCACTGTCGAATTTCCAAAAGGTATATTTAATGTTCCAGGAATTTTGACTTGAGAAAGTACACGTGACACTCTTATTGATTGATTTAGTTCTGTGAGTAACAAAAGCAAGAGGAACTTATTGGCTTTCTTGACCGACATCCTATATTAAGAATGAAATACTTGATATTGACAAACATTTTGAAGAATCTTATACAGCTGAACTAATACATTCGGAAACACAAAGCATTCTTGCATAACACACATTCAAACACTTTTCCTACCACAGAGTGCATGTAGCAATATGATAATTTAATGTTTTTTAATTATTTTGGTGAGTAGCAAAAGTTAGTATGTGGAATGTCCAACATCCCAACAGATAACAAAGATCATGAATATTAGTTAATGGGTATACATAAGCTACTTTCTTTACTATTAAACAGTACCACAAAGATCATGAATATTTGTTACTGGGTATACATAAGCTACTTTCTTTACTATTAAACAGTACCACAAAGATCATGAATATTTGTTACTGGATATACATAAAGCTACTTTCTTTACACTTAAACAGTACCAGAAAGATCATGAATATCTATTAATGGGTATACATAAACTACTTTCCTTACTATTAAACAGAACCAGAAATATCATGAAACAGTACCACAAAAATCATGAATATTTGTTAATGGGTATACATAAAGCTACTTTCGTTACTATTAAACAATACCAGAAATATCATGAAACAGTACCATTAAACATTTACCATTAAAAAAATATCATGATTGTTAATGGGTATACATAAAGGTACTTTCTTTACTATTAAACAGTACCACAAAGATCATGATTATTTGTTAATTGGTATAAATGAAGCTACTTTCTTTACACTTAAACAGTACCAAAAAGATCATGATTATTTGTTAATGGGTATACATAAAGCTATTTTCTTTACTATTAAACGGTACCGCACAGATCATGATTATTTGTTAATGGGTATACATAAAGCTACTTTCTTTACTATTAAACAGTACCACAAAGATCATGAATATTTATTAATGAGTATACATAAAGCTATTTTCTTTACTATTAAACAGTACCGCAAAGATCATGAATATTTGTTAATGGGTATACATAAACTACTTTCTATACTATTAAACAGTACCGCAAAGATCATGATTATTTGTTAATGGGTATACATAAAGCTACTTTCTATACTATTAAACAGTACCAGAAAGATCATGATTATTTGTTAATGGGTATACATAAAGCTACTTTTTTTACCATTAAACAGTACCAGAAAGATCATGATTATTTTTTAATGGGTATACATAAAGCTACTTTCTATACTATTAAACAGTACCACAAAGATTATGATTATTTGTTAATGGGTATACATAAAGCTACTTTCTTTACCATTAAACAGTACCACAAAGATCATGAATATTTATTAATGGGTATACATAAAGCTACTTTCTTTACCATTAAACAGTACCACAAAGATCATGAATATTCATTAATGGGTATACATAAAGCTACTTTCTATACTATTAAACAGTACCACAAAGATCATGATTATTTGTTAATGGGTATATATAAACTACTTTCTTTACATTAAACAGTACCAGAAAGATCATGAATATTTATTAATGGGTATACACAAGTTTCTTTCTTTTCTATTAAACAGTACCACAAAGATCATATTTTGTTGATGCTGCTGCTTATTTTTTTGCACATCATGATATCTTAATTTAGACATGAAGTGTCTTAAATGCCAATCTGTAACACAGAACCAAAAAATACACTGTAGTTACTTGTAACACCCAAGATCCACCTGAATGAATCAGAATGTGGTAATGTAGCTTAGAAGCAATAAGAGTTTAAAATACAACAACATTAGATAATATTTCTTTTCTTTATCTAATCCATTAGGTATTTTCAAAAGGAACTTAGAAGCTATGTACTAAGAGGTGAGCCATATAATACTGTGTAAACTCTTGAAAAATTCATATAATATAAATTAAGTAAATTAATTTAAGTTCATAATAGCTCAGCTTTACAACAGGAACAAAAGCCTTTCCCATACACAGGAAGATTTCAATCTTAAAATTTAAGTTGGGGGGCAGTTGACAAGTTATGGTATAATCCTACAAAGTTAATAAAGTGTAATAGCGTGAATTAATCAGTTGATAAGTTATGGTATAATCCAACAAAGTATAATAGTGTGAATTAGTGTGCATCACTTAGGATATTTATGTTATTTACTTAATCCTTCATGATAACTATTTTAATAAATGATTAAGTTTTTTCATTGAACTGTTGAAAAAGTTAAAAACACCACTGGCTCAGGTTTTTCTGTAAAAATTTGCTAATACAGTTGTTACTTTTTTTTCTCAATAATTTTACCAAATTCTCCCATTTGCTGAACCTACCCGTTACATGTAGGTAATACATTACAGTATCACTCCTTTCATCACTAGAATACATACATAACCTTGAAGTTTACATGTGAATTAATTCTGTTTACATTCTTCATAAAGTTATCTAAAGGAGTATGAATTTGTTTTTGAAACAATTTGGCCATATTACAAATTGACTTTGAAGTGTTAAGATAACTTATCACATGTAAATATCATAGATGTCATCAATGAACATTAGACAATTTCAATAAATAACCAGAGTCTAACTCAGCAGTTCCCAACCTCTTCACGAACCCCTTGAGTAATAATAGTTTTCACAGCATACCCCCTTTTAAGCACTAATAAATCTTGTAAAATAAAATAACTTTGAAAGTAAAAAGTTTCTGTAATACATGGTATGTAACATGTCTACAATACAATTTTAATTTTTGATACTGTCATCAGTTTACAGTTTGTATCCAGTAATATTGAATTATAATTCTTGAAACATAATAAAAAAAAGGAAAACAAAACTATTTAATTAAAACTAATGAAACTTCCGAGCTTGTTTTGAAGAACACAGTGCTTTGATGTCCAGTTCAACAGAAGAGATATATAGTCTTAAATCTGGCTCTGCATCAAGCTATTTCCTTCCATAAATATTTTAATAAATTAGAAGGAAATTCAAATATTGGTAAGAACTGTAGAACCAGAAAATTGAAAAAGATGCCATTACCAAATTTGTCTCGTGAACACCTCAGAATTATCTCTCGAACCCCTAGGGGTTTGCAAACCATCGGTTGGGAAATGCTGGTCTAACTTATAATGTTTAGATCTAAATGTAACAAAACAATGGAATTCATTAGAAAATATGCACAATTTTGTTGAAAAGACAACTAGATATAATAATTTCCTATATAAACAACCAACCCTTAAACAATAAAAAATAAAAATTCTGTCACAAAGAGAGAAAATAAAAAAATTTTCTTACATTACTTTTACAAATTTACAGTGATATATAAGATCACAATCATTATGTATTCACAAGTAATTTATACCAAAGCTTACTAGTCTAAACCAATAATACAGAAAAAATTCACTCAGTTCTCTATCAAATTCTATTGTAATAACTATTAAAATGAAGTAACAAAGTACAAGTATGAATGATTAAAGAAAACAAACTCTTCAAATTAACAGATTCATTTTTAAGAATTTATTTCCAAAAAATATTCCAAAATTTTAGTTACCAAACTAGGATAAATTTAAGCAAATACATGTAAAATGAAAAAATCAAATGTCTTTTATTATAGATCTATAAACATAGATAAATACAAATTCAATGAGAATTGCAGAGCACTTATCCCGTGTTGAATTCTGCACATCAGATTGATTTGTTCAAAAAATTAAAACTTTTATCTTGTATCATAAGAAAGCTCTTATATTTAAGAAAAATGTAAATTATACTGAACCAGTCATGTTTCTGTACTGAAGAAACAACGGAAAATGCTTCATCACTAAGTCTAATTCTGCAATTATAACAAAGAAGTAACGGTAGAACATTAAATAAGTAACTTAATCAAATAGAAGTTTTAAAAATGATTATATGTACATAAATCAGAATTTACTAGTTTTTCAAAATCTGATAGTTTTAATACACTTGCCAAAATAAGAACATTAAAATTAACACTCTCGCCTATCACAGGCAATCAACTTCCCCAACCAGGACTCTTACCAGAACCATCCAAAAAGCAATAACATCTCTGTATTAAGATAGGATGAGGGAGAACCAAAAGACAGAACCATAACAATGTCCCATACCACATCTGTGACCCACAACACAGACAGAGGAAAATTGAGGGAGGAAGACAGACAACCCAAAACATGTGTGATGACTTATGTTGATTGGTTTTACTCTAAATCCAAAATCTGGCCACGGGGGTACCGACATCTGCACGGGGGGTAGGATGAGGGCTCCCAATCAAAGGAGTGAACTGTATTTTGACCTATCACTCCTTCATAATTGTATATCATAAAAAGGAGGATAGTCTGCACTGAATGGTTATAGCCATCTTTGCATGGAACCCATATAGGAGGATGCCTCCACAGTTGACCACCCCAGCAGCTTGGAACTGGAAAGTGGTAAGAACTCCCATACTCCACTAGAAGAAAAAAGGGTGAAAAGATGGTGGAAGAAAAATATTGCAAGATTATTCACATACAAGCAGTCTTGTGGAACACCCTTTCTCAACAGTGAGCACTGTGAAGCCATGGAATATATAGCACAGATCAACATGGCCGTACAGTGTGGATTTCAAGTTAAAAATACCTGGTCAGGCAGCACTCACCACAGAGCAGGATCCATATCATGAGGAATGAAGAAAAAGGCCCCTGAAAAGAAAAGGAAGTATGAATAGAATTGTCGGAAAGAACCATCATCCCAGAATGTCAGACGAGAAGAAGGAAGTGATGCAACATTTGACAAACAGCAAAAAATTTGAGAACATTGATATGCAAAGTGCTTTCGTATACAAACCAATAGCCCGAAGATTCCTGGTGGTTGGCTCATGCACCCAAACCCAGTAGGGATGCATCATGAAAGGATGTAGATCTGGACTCAGGGATGAAGTGGCACACCCACTGAAGTATGGAAAGAGAAAGAAGATCCTGTGCAAGATTCTGTAGATCGGGAAGAGCCCACTGAAGGGATCTTGTATGAGTACAACTAAGAGAGCCCAGTAATGTCATTGAAGACCACATCCCAAAAGGCAATAGAACCTCACGACTAGTAAGTGATGAAACTGAGAGGACGTGGTGAACTAACAAGTTCATAGAATGAAATCAGAAAGGAGAAGGCTGGGCCCGACTGATATGAGCGCCAAAAAAAGACCCACAAAAAAGTACGAGATACTGAGTACGTCTGAGAAAGGACTCCTCCAGTTTGACTAACCATCTCAATCGAGCAACCACTAAAGGGAGCTGCTGAGTATGGCTGGTCGACTCTGGTTCAGAATGAGCCAGAAGAAGCCAGTCATTCATGTAATAGAGAAATTCAACCCCAGAGTATGAAGATGTCAAGCAAATACTTGGACTACCCATCAGAAAACATAAGGGGCCAAAGAAAACCTAATTGTTATTGTACGAGATTGATAAACCACCCCGAGATGGACAAACTGAAGATAAGGATGGGACCAAGGTGATATAGGTATATGGAGATACACCTTGTCGAGATCCATTTTGGTTATCCATAAATCCGGAGAAAACGCCTACCTCCAGATGAAAAAGACTCCATGGTAAACTGGGGCAGGTGAACGAGGCTGTTGAGGAAATAAAAACCTGGTGAAAGATATGGAACAGGTTCAATGACTGCTGATCCAACAGACACTGACTGGTCATGAGACTCTGACAAGGAGGGAAGGAAATGGGAAAAGAAGACAAGGAAGGTAGAGAAAGGAAAGGGATCATGAATCCTTCTGAAAAAACCTGAAGAACTCATTTATCCTCGATGAAGGAACTCCAGCAATAAGAAATTGGCAAGCAAAGCTTCCATCAGACCAGAACTCACAGGTTTTCACCAGTATTGTTAGATTTGAGATGCATCTATGAAAAAATGAGAAGAGTCACCCCAAGAAGAAGGGACAGGTAAGGGTTGGGATGGGGAAGGTCAGGAAATAGGAGGCATATGGGGCTCTGATTAAGACAAACGTGTAACAATCTTGTAAGGGTAGATTGTTGTTGGATCAATGCCATCCGTGACTCTATTGTTTCTGGGATCATGTAAAAAATGTATCACTGTAGCATTGGGGCAATACGTAAATCATGAAGCCAAATCTGCATCCCGACCTTAAAGATCCCAACAACAGAGAAACCACATATGCAAAGTCTGAGCTGAAGATGACAAACGAGCTAGTGTGGAGGAAAGAAGGGAAAGGATATCCCCAGAAAACCCCTCAGGATTTCCATGGAGAGCCTCTGAGAGGAGGTGTAGAGAAGAAGGATACTGTAAAAGAGTTGTAAGGCGAGAATTCTTGGCCAAAGGGCAGAGCCCTGAACTGCAGAACCCGACCCTTGTGCATGAAACACAGATAGCAGCAGGATGACTTCCCTATAGGAATGAGGAGATATGTATCAGCAAATTCAAACTTCGTCATTCACATACCTAGTGAAAAATGCCAATGTAGTTTAAGAAAGGACTCCATTGTGAACCTGGGAGGATTTAAGAATTGGTTGAGACAAGAAAGATTGATGATCGGCCACCAATCTCCAATTTTCTTGGGCACAACAAATAAACAGGAATAAAATCCCAGAAGAACGGGATCGACTCTATTTACCACCCCTTTGACAAATAACTCTCTGATAGCCTTGGAACGAAGATCCACACTCCGGGGTTCTGTTGGAGGTGGAAATACTACTGGTTGAGAGAATAATGAAGGCAGAGAAGTGAACTGAATGACCAACCCCAATGCCAGAACTTGAAGTACCCATGGATCTGTGGTGAAGGAATTCCAGATGTCCGGAAAATGTTACCTTGCTCCCACTGACCCCACCTGCATAGGGTAGTCATGGACACCATTAGCAATAGTCTGCCCAAACAGAGGAGCCTCTAAGATAAGGACAGAATCTATTCTGAGTACCAACAGATTAAAGAGCAGAAGCCAAGAGGGGGAACACATGACAAGCAGTTTCACCATGACTTCCAGCGGAAACCAAAGAAAGTCTCGAGTTCAAGGACGACAAGGAAGAATGCAAACATGCGACATCAATGTGTAAGTCCAATGCCTCTGGGATGCCCATGAACATCAAAGGACAAAGAAAAGGAACCTCATATAACTAACTTCTTCCAACAAGACATCTCTACCCAATAAATACCATCAATACACAAGCCAGGAAACCAAAGAAAGAGCAGAAGCAGACAATCTTACCAAGATAGAAGTCAGCAAAGGACCTAATTTGTCCTCAATTTGATGAGGAGAATGCTGATAGATTTCCAACAAAATTTTGTGGGAAGATATATATCTCAGAACAGTAGTGAGGGTCAAACAAATCTGAGAAAATTGTGACCTGTTTAGTCTGGAAACCCACAAAAGAGGATCAAATCTTTGGGAATCTAAATATACATCTTACTGGCAGTGGTAAGCCAAAGAATGCTGTCCAGACAAACATGGGGGACAAGGCATAGCTATCCCGTTATGTAGTTGAGCAGTAAATCAGACCAATGCTTAGATGGGCAAAGTCAAAACCCTGGTGGTCAAGTAATAGCTATAGAAAAACAAGGAAACAATTTCCAACAGTCTATCAACATCACAGTAAAGCAAATATTCCATGTACTGGGAAGAAACAATTTGACTACACTTGTTCACTATGATGTGAAAATACATCACTAACTGGTATACAGTTTGTAACTAACCACTGTATTTCGTACAGAACTAGACAGGTCTGTTTTTCTTGCCTCTGCTCAGTATAGCACACCATTAGATTTTTGAGACCTTAAATTTAAGTGATTGAAACTTCTTGAATCTTATGGAATATTTGCTCATGGACTTCAAATTGTACTAATGTGGTATTCTCACATGCAATGATCAGTGATCACAGATCATATGAGGGATGGTAAATAAATTTATCATAGTGTTAAACTGAATTTCTAACTCTAAGTTGAAGACAGAGATCAAACATATTGTGAAACAAAGTGCAAAGTAATCTTTATTAAACAATATGAATCAAAGAAATAAATGTTCATAGATACATGACAGAGAGAACTTTCCCAGTGTGAGAAGTAGATATGGCTAAAATCTATAGGAATTTTGGGTAAAATCATATTTCCCACAAATGTAGTGTGAT